CATACAAACAGAGATCTAAAAAATATATATATATATATATATATATATATATATATATGCACATAAATTGTTCCAAAACGAATACAAATGAGATTAAATGGTCCAAAAGGGAGGAAGTGTAACGAACAAAGGAGGATCTACTAATAGGAGACCAAGAGGCCTCACTTATCCAACTGGATGCAATCATCCGAGCTAAGGAGGAAGGCTAATCGAGCTAGGAGAAGGATAGAAGTACGATCCGAATTCAGACCAATTGAACTAGAGCAAGATAGATAAGCAATTGAGCTAAAAAGATGAGTGAAGGCATCAACCTACTTTTTGATAGATTCTATTCGAGCAAAGAATCAAGTTCCTCGCCATTAGCGGCCGTTCCGCAGACGCCATTGAGGTTCCTTATCAGAGACCAATAATAATGCAATAGAGTCCCACAGTCATCCTGAAGGACTTTCTTGTCAATGAATGAGCTATTTATTGAATTACGATGATTCATCCTCTGCTCGATAACCTAGTTTGATTTTGCTGACAGAAACACCCCGTCTAGGGATCGAGGGCCAAAGTCAGACTAGATCAACTTACCAATAGTCTAGTCGACTGAGGCAGTCCTGCTGATTCGAACCTAATTAAGATCAATTTGCCATCTGCATCGACTCATCATAGCCAGCTGAATCGGCCTTACCCAGTCGAATTCATGCTAGCCCAGCCTAGCATGCCATAAGAAGCCAAACAATTGGCTGAGTTGATGGGAAATATAACAGTTTTTTTAAAGCAGGGGCATAAATATAATATCACATATTAAACCATCTTTTCTATAAATTGGGAGATCATTTTATAAGGATGAGTTAATAGACATGATATCTTACTGCTCATCTTTCTCCCTCTCTCTCTATCTTTCTCCCCATTCTTATACTCTAACTCTCGGGGGTGTGATTCATAAACAAATCAGGATTTAACTATATGTGTGTGTGCGCGCGCGCACTACAACAACTTTAATGGCATTCAAACATAACATAAACAAGAATTTGAACCCAAATATTGGATATCACATTAATAATCACCATTTTAAGTGCATCTTTTTAATATATGGATAACGTGACATGTTTATAAAAATTAAAGTTTGTGTTAGATATGTAAATGCACAAGAATTGACTATTATGTATGTAAATCATTCTTTTTTATATATGAAGGTTTGGAGCTTGAAATTTTGTTGTTTGGTGAAAATAAAATAAAATGAATTTGGTGTCAAATTTCAATCTATTTAAACATCATCTTTAATTATTTGTTTCTAATATATTTAAAATTCGTCTAACTAAAATAAGTTTCAAATGCAATCACTCACCAAGTTATCCAGCACTCAAAAAAAAAAAACTTCTATAATTTATTACGAATAAGCAATTAACAATAAAATATTACAACTTCGTGCCGAACGTCCGACACCGTGCAGTTGGACGAAGCTGCAACGTCGAGCGCTATCTACTTTCTTTTGAGCTCGCCTGCTTCATTGCATCAACTGCCAATTTTTTTTTTAACATTTAATACTTTCTGGCAATCTTTCAGAGATCCAAACTGAGCAGGTTACGAGCCCTTGTGCCAATTCGAAACTCATCCTACCTTAAAATAAAAAATACAGGCTACCACTTGGCCAGACCTTACTGAATCTTAACTCTGTCTCCCTCCCTCTTAAAGAAGGCAAAAGCCGGGACCTGCAATCTTCCATTAAATCGTATAGCCCACATGCATTTATTAGTCGTTTTCTCCTTCACATGCTTAAGTCGTGCTGAAATAAATCTCCTTTTGGAGCCCCAATTTTAGTGCAGAGGGCTCCATCCCAACCACCTTGCTAAATTATATTTCGATGCAAACTTCCTCTCAACATATTCTTCCGCATTTTTCTCCTTTTTGTGTCTTTACCATATTTGTTAATCAGCCATGCAGCGATTTATGCATTGCTACATTGTCGAATTATACCTTGATTTCATTCATTTTAACATGTTTGTTAATCAGGCTCATTGTTGGTTCTATTTTTCCAGATTGTTGTATCCAAATTTGTCCCCAGAGAATGAGCACAAGTTAGAAGAGAGAGATAGGTAGAGGAGTGAACATTAATGAATAATAAATGTCGTGTCAATCCTTTTAAATCTTTTTTATTTATTAAATGAATTTCCTATTTATAGGAGAGATAATACGATGCGGTGATGTTATATTTTTTCTCTTGTTTTAAAATGGGTTATATAGGCTATTCTTGATATTTTATACATATGAACATGTCGTTCGGTTGTTCTCTCATTCTGTTGGCTGAGTTTATTTGGCTTCAAGCCGGTAGGACATGTTTGATCAACTAGGCTTGGTTGGTGTTGCCGGTTGACTGAGCTAGGTTGGCTTCAAGTTTGCAGGACTCTTCTTTGTGGTGGTTGGCTTGTTGTTTTGGATATATTGTCATCTCATTTCTTATCGAATGATTCACTTGAATCTTTTTGCCTTTTTTTCGCCCTCCTCATGGATCGGTCGGCTTTGACTCGGACGGCTTTACTCGATTCAATAAATGAGTCTCATGATCTTCTGTCGGTAGGTCCTATTTCATTGTACTCTTCTCCTCTTTACCGTTACAGCTTCCTATCACCAAAAGCTACTCTATAACTGCTCAATGTGGTATATCTCCCTGTTATTAATTTGGATATCTGCACTAAAATAACATGATAATGTATAATAAAAGGTCAGGCAAATTTAATTCTTGTTTACCAGTTCTTAGCCTAAATTGAAATACATTTAAAATTAGATTTTGAGATTATGCATCGTCGTCCATACATGATTCCTTGACGTTTCAGTATCACCAAAAGCTACTCTATTTTGTTTTTTTAAATTATTCCTTTCCCTCAAGAAAGTCGCATGTCCTTGAGTTGTCCTTTCAACCAATATAATATATACTGATCTCTTTATCTAAAGGTTGCCAACTTGGAACAATTTAAATCTCAGTCAACATGTACAGTGGATTGACTTTAAGTTCATCTTCATAATTTACTAGATTTTAACTAGTTTTCAGAGTTATCATATCATATAATTTTTAAGTTTTATTCCTCAAATTTTATTAAATGTAGATTTACATCATTTTGTGAATTCTGGTAAGAGGTAAAATCTTGCTTGTAGCCAAACAGGTCAAGTCAAGTTCCACGGTACATCAGATTCTACAAAGCTGCTCATTCTATAGTTTCTACCTCACTTCAATCTCAATCCCTCCCTCCCTCTCTCTCTCTCTCTCTCTCTTCAAAATCAAGCATGACAATTAGAGAACTGCTTTCATCTCCAGTGATCTCCATGCTCCTTCTTCCCTGCCGCAGCACCCTCTTCCTTCTCATCAAACCTCTACTGAGAATTCTGCAATACCAGGAAGAAACAATGTCTCTCACATGGCCATTGAACTTCGACTCTCTCGATCATTACCTCAGCGTTTTTGATCAAGACTTCTCCATCCGAGATACAGATGTAGGAATCTCCAAATACAGACGAACAGTATCGGACGAACAGGCGAGGTGTGTTTTCTGTCTGTCCGACGTCGTTGAAGGAGAAGAGATCCGAAAGCTAAGGTGCAGTCATCTATTTCATCGGATTTGTTTAGATAAATGGCTCCAGTATCAGAAGTTAAGCTGTCCTCTCTGTCGCTGCTCTCTGCTGGCTTCGTTGGAGGTGCAGGAGAAGCTTAATGAAGTAGAGGATGAAGTTGAGCCTGAGGATTCTGGTCCTCCTCTACTGGCTTTTGTTCTGAGTGAATGGTGGGGGAGATGTTTTCTCTTGGTCGAACATGGCTTTAGTTAATGGTTTGGTTCTGTAACCAGGTTTAATTAAGAGGAAAGATTATTGCAATAAATGGTGATTAGTCTTTCTCTAATCTTCATTTGCCTGAACTGCTGCTTTGCTTATTATTCTCTTCCTTTTCTTCTTCTTCTTCGTTTTCTTTCATGTTTCTTCCTCTTGTTTCCGTTTTTCTTCGTTAATGGAGAACTTACTGCTGCTTCTTCATTCTTGACTCGCATTGAATTTTTTGCACCATCTGACTAACCAAGTTGTCTCCTTGGAAAATTATTAGGTAAAGATTTTCTGCAAAATAGGATTTCAGCATGTAATTCTATTTTTACCACACAATTACTTATATATTTACTTATATTTCTATGTTTATAGTACTTTATGCATGCATTGCATTAAAAGATGTAATTCATTTTTTTAAAGTTTCTCATAATGTTATTTTTATACGAAATAAGAGTTTGAAGGGGCTATATGGTAACAAATTTAAGTAAATTTTAACTTCAAATCTTACAAGATAGAAAAAATAATAACTTTTAAATTTAAATCTATTTTTTTCATTTCCTTCCAAAAAAGACTTCTTAGTTTTAACTTAGGATCCGTTTGGGGTGGTGGTGCCGCAATACACTGCAGTTTTTTCTGTTTGGATAAATTGTGTTTTGGCCTTTATCGCTGAAATTTACGTTTTCTCATCACTCTTGGCTAAGTGCAGCGACATGTCACCTCCCAAAAGAGCCCTTAAGGGTGGTGGGCAGCCCAGGACTTAAATACTGTTTTTGGGCCCTACACCTAGCCGATGTGGGACTATTTGTCCGTGACATTCTCCTCCACCCAATCACGTGACGCCCTCGTCACGGATCGACTCCACCGAGGGTCCCACTGAACCATGGAGAGTCCACACACCTGGCAGACAGTAATCTGCTCTGATACCACTTGTCACCTCTCAAAAGAGCCCTTATGGGTGGTGGGCAGCCCAGGACTTAAATACTGTTTTTGGGCCCTACACCTAACCGATGTGGGACTATTTGTCCGTGACAGACAACTTTCTAGCCACGGTCTTAAATATATATACACATTTGTGATAGCAACAACAGCCTTTTAAGCATTATATTAATATTCAACAGCTTTACAATTACTTTCTAATAAGTTACAACTTCCCAAAGAGACCCCTTAAATCCCATATTTATTACATTCTATTATTGACAGGATTAAGTAAATTCGAATTTACAGAATTTATTAAAATTGTTAGTCTGTCATAGAACCCTAGTTAAAAATATGAAAACTATAAAACAGAAGGGTCAGTCATCTGTTGGGGTTGACTCTATTAAAAGGCATTTATTAATAAGATTTCGATTGGCTTAGAAATGATAGGTAAGTTTTTGTTAGTGCCTGATGTTGAAATTGAAATTATCATTAATTGTGATCTTAATTATATTTCCTTTTTTTTTTAGTAGAAGTTGTTCATTTTAACCCTCATTTTTCCTCAAATAGCAGCTTTTGACAGCTCTGTAGATTAGCTTCGTAACTGATTTCTCATCTTTACCATCAAGTCTATCAAAGGAGTTAGCTTTGGTTTTATAAATTACATGAATTATTGATGTTAGTTATACTATTGTCTCTAATATAATTGATTAGAGGACTTGAGAGTGAGTCATATACTAAGATATAGGTATCTATCAAATTAAAAGTCTTAAGTTGATGGATAACTAACTTTTTTATTTTATTAGTTATTAAGGCATGCATTCAACTCAACTTTTCTTTAGGTGATTTTTTATTCCAAATTTGAAATAATCATTATATTATTTTTTGTTTAAATATTTATATATTTTATTAGTTCGAGCTCGAGTTCAAGATTAATTTTATGAGAAGCTATTTATTGTGTAATAAAGAAAATAATATTAATTTATATTTGTTATAAAAAATGATTAAGAAGATGAATTTTTATGAAATAAATAATAAGAAATTATTTGATATAAATTATTAACTATATTTTTTATATTTTTTAAATAATTTAAATATAAAATCTTGATATTTAATATATTTAGAATATTTGTTTATATTAATTACTTTTTAAATGATGGGTTTAACTTGAGCTAAACTTGTTCAGCTCTAGTCACGAGTCATTGATCAAGTCGAGCCCGAGCCAGCTTGGCAATTACATCCTGGATACATCCCAACTTCTCAATCATATTAGGATAATCCTTGTTATTATTATTGCTATTTTTATACATCCCAACTTCTCAATTATTATAATTATTGCTATATATATATATATATTGCATTTTGTTTTTCATTTCACACTAGAGTGAAATTCATATAGAAAATTATAATTAATATAAAAAATAGCTTATTATGCAATATTTAATTCTATGATATTTTTGAGGTAGAACACTAATAAATTTGATCTATATTTATTAAATTAATAGCATTAAATTCTCTAATAAGGCCGTTGGACATCACCATCAAACCTCAAATTTGAACCCAAATTCCGTCAACATCAGATAATAAACACCATCACATACTTATAAAAGTCATATTCTCACCAATTAAACGTGCTGCATGGTGGATGTTGCTGAAAATATCAATGTGGAATTATTAAGAATAAATCAAAAATAGAAAATATGTCATTATAAGCGCATAAAACGTTCCATGCATTAAAAACTTGCTATTTTGATTTTATTATTATTATTATTATTATTATTATTATTATTTTAATTTAAGATTGTTTTGACAAAAATTGCTTTTGGATTAATCCTTAATTATGATTTAATTAATGAGTTTTGAGTGAAGTTTAGTAATGTTGAATTTTGTTTGTTTATTTTTATTTTTGATAATTTTTGGGATGATTTGCATGCATACCCCTCAATTTCTATGTATTTACATATCTAACACATAAACTTCATTTTTTACATACATGCCCCCTCTCTATCCATGAAATGTTTTTTTTTCATTTTGTGAAGGCTGAAGTGCCAAAATAGTCTAAGATTATTTTAAGTGGCGATATTTTACTCCCGTAGCTTATAGAAGTGTCAAAATGTTCTCCAGACTCTTTACATTGAGGCTGAAATAGCCCACTTTGATGACTATTAGAGCTCAGTTTTAAAATAGTCTGTGACTTTTTTGGCAACTCTATAAACTTCGGAACTAAAACGGCCTCAGGTAAATAGTACGTGACTATTTTGCCACTTCGCTCATTTTTTATGTGAAGTTAAAGACGTAAGAGGTGGTATAAATATAAAAATTTAAATTTATGTGTAAGATATGTAAATACATAAGAAGTGGGTGGCATGCATGTCAATGCCACATGTTTTTATTGTTTTGGCCCAACTATTAAAATGAAAATCATCAAAACTAACCAAATTGATGAAAACAAAGTCTCATGTTTGTTCAATCAACTTTGAGTTCAAATAACTGAAAACATGTACTGAGAAAGTATGAGTTCATTACATTCTATAATTGTATTTACATATTTAGATGTGTTTATGAGCTCATAATGTTTTTAAAAGTTATCAACATTATGATTTTATTTTCACTATCAAAATAAAATAAATACCATTTTATTCTTATGTATTTATACATCTAACACATTAAATGTAATATTTGTTGTTATAACAACTTAGATAAGTTAATATTTTTTTATTTTTTTTTATGATTTAAGAATTAGGATATATAACCATTCAATAGTAGGTATGTCAATTCCCTAATAAAAAATGATTGGATAAAACATTCTTTGTATCATATATGTGAGATGAAAACTGATAATCAAGGGCGGAACTGGCTCTTCCGGAGGTATCTCTGAATCCGAAATTCTAAGTCAATTGCGATCGAGCTCTTTGAAGTTTGAGGACGGGTGTCTCACTTTCAGAGCTGTCGTATCCCATATTGTTGATGTCTTCTTGTTCTTTATTAACAGACTAGTTGAGATTTTGTATGATTTGAGAATTGTCGTTAGAATTGAAAATCGAATTAAATTGGTTGTTATCAGTTAATTCAACTTGGGTTAGACCTAGTAACATTCAAATTTTTGCTAAGTTTAAAGTGGTTTAAACTTAGAGATGGATTTTAGGTCTAATTTGGGACAGGGTAAAGGAAATGGGGTAAGCTTGAGTTAGGTTAAACCTAAACCAAATTTAGGCTCAAATTAGGCTAAATAGGCACCAATATTTTTTAATATTAGGGCGGTCAAATAGGCAAATTTAATTTTTAATAATTTGCCTATACTTAAATTGAAATGCAAAAAAAAATAGACTTGTTTGGTATAAAATTATTCTGTTTATGAGGATCCAATAAATTAATAGAAGAATTTACATTTATATATATATATATGGAAAAAATATGATGAAGAAGAGCCCGTTGCCAGGAGATTGTGGAGATCGCCTGATCGAACAAGCCAACCAGACCAAAGGTGGTTTAGTCATGAGGCAAACAAGAAGACAGCTGAATCATTCAAGCAAGAGCCATCAAGCCGACATCGAGCTAAATGGAAGAGCATCCGAGCCAAAAGCTACAAAAAAACCAACTTAATAAGCCTACCCCTAGTCAAGCCGGTCCAAATAAAAATCTACCTCCACAAAGTATATCCAACAATCACATGGAGATTCCAAAGGCTTGCCATCAAGATTGAAGAAAGCTAACTAGGCTGGATTAATCGACGGTCTACACTTACTAACTTCAATTGATTGAGGGTCTGTTTCAGACATTTGCAGTTGTTTGCTTAAACAACTGAAGAATAAGCAGTTGTTCAAAAAACTATGACGGCTATTATAAAGCTTTTTTTGTTTTTCAGACCGTAGTTTTCTGGCAGCTACCGCAAACAACCAAGTTTGCTAAACATGAAAAACCGTCGTGCTTCACCAAACCACCACCGCATATCGCCCCAAACGCGCTATGAGCTGACTATATATGTTGTTTTATATATTAATGAATATCATATATGACCCATTTAATTAATATAAAATTGAATATTAATATTTAGATACTGTAAGAGTTTTATACACACCACTTAATTCTTATATATTTATATATCTAATCCCAAGACTTTAAGTTTTACATAAATGCTTTCTCACAATCTTACCCAAGCATAGTTTGTATTTGGTGGTTTATGCTTAAAAGGTTAAGTTTATATGTCAATTATGTAAATACATAAGAATTGAGTGGTATATATGTAAATACCCCCAAATTAGAAGACTTAATATTAATAAAATAATTGTTTTAAAATTTTCTTATTTTAAATGAAGAATTGAATTGGTTCTCTCCTTATAATGGAGATATTTTTCCCGATGCAGAGGTTGAAGACGATACACCTCCTGCTATTTTCCTTGGCAGAAAGAGCTTAATGGCCATGGAGACTCATTTCAGATTAGGGCTCTTCACCTCTAAAGCATATTATTACCCATTTTCCCACTCAACTCTTCCTCCGAAAAGCTCCTCTTTCCATCAAAATCGATCTGTTCCCAAGAAAACTTTCCACGCCGGCATTCCCTCTTCTGCTCTATCAGGTACACGCAACCCTCCCTCGATCTACTTCATTTTCTCCGAATGAATTAATGTCTGGCTTATATCATTCGCGAAGCGAACAGTTGAAGTTTTGGGTATTGTACTTCTTATTGAGTTTAAATCTCATAATTAATGGCTGTGTTAGGTCATAGGTTAAAACTGTAATCACCCGCAGGAAGCGAGGTTGCTGGAGAAGAAATAGTGCAAATGTTTCTGAAGGAGAGGCAAACAGATGGTGATTTTGTGACGAAGGTTTATGACAATTTATGGAGAAAATATGAGTTAAAATTTGTTGATCCGAAAGTTAATATTAGAGAAGAGCAGATCCGCCAAATTGACTTGGTATGAATCTCTTGACTGCTTTTTGCTGTTTGAATCAGCAATGGCTTTGGTCTAGGGGATCTTTGGTTGCAAGCTAGATTTAACTCTCGTAGGATTTGGTAAATTCTGAATATTCAAATTTGGTAAATCTCGAGGGGATTAAAACCTGATTATTTCATTAGATTGCCAACTGCTAAATTTTGCTAAATCCTGATGAATTGTTTAGTTTTTTGTTTGGGAGTTTGAAATTTATGATAGGGGGTGTTTGGCTGCTAGTAGGATTTAGTGAATCCGTAAATCATAAAATCTTTAAATTCACCCTGTCCCTGGATTTACTTAATCCGGATTTAAGCTGAATCAAATGCAGAATTTGGAACTCTAAATCCGAAAATTCCCAAATGATGCAGCTATTGCAGAACTGTATGTAAACCTTCCAGATACACTTGGCTACTTATCTTTTTTTTTCTTAGTTATTTGCTAATAGACCACTTATGCTATTTTTATTTTCTTAGTTACCAGTTATGAGGGGAGTTGTCCCCTCTAATTAGTTAGCTACGTACCTTATCGTTGATCCGCTGCTATAGGGGAGTGGAGGTATAGGTGGTAAAGCACTTTTGATATTTTCTTCATTTGGGAATTACAGAAAACTTTTGTTTCATCCTCTTCTTCTTTGCTTCCTTGTTTTTCTGTTCTTGGTTTTTGATCCATAGGTGCTACGCCAATAAATCCACAGAAGTCCTACATTTTAGTGTTTGGCTGGATTTAGTGAACCTGCTAATAAATCCTATTAAAAGGCGCTACTAAACACCCATTTAGATTCATTAAATATTTTGAATGAAAAGATTTAACAAATCATGTATTCAACTGGAGTGGGAATTATCCAAACAATATGATTTGAAGTACCCAAGCTTCCATTTTCCTGGGTTTGTGTTAAAATTTTGCTTAAATTTAGCCTAAGGTATAATAACAAACAAACCTAAGGGAGGTTTGCATTAATTATTGTTATGTTCTTTTCTTTTACATCTTTCTTTCTGTGTAGTTGAAAGTGGAAGTTGATGAATTGGAAGAAAATACTGAATTTCTAAAACTAACCAAAAACATGGATTGGATCTCTAGTGAGAACACTGCTCCGGTCAACAAGAAATTATTGACAAAGGTCAGCTTCCTTTCAATTTGATTCTAATTTTATGGTTTTTTATGGTTATTTATGGATATACTGCATTGTTTATGGAATTCATGGTTTTTTATGGTTGTTTGGTATGAAAACAGAAGTGGAAGGATGAAGGTGAAAAGAGAAAGAAAGTGAACATGCTCAAATATGAAGCTGTATGTCTTCTTCTTCTCAGTTTCTTTAAAGAGCTCTAGTCTTCGTAAATTGGAAAAATGCTCTTTGCAATCTTTGGTATACGTACCACTTCATGTAACTTTGTTTTGTATTGCAATATGGCTAGCATAGAAGTGCCCTTTTCATAATAATTAGCCAAAATCAGAAATGCATAGTTATACATATATTTTCTTTCTTACTGTCTTGCTGCAGCTTAAGGGGGAGTTGTTGCTTTTAACCGTAGCAGTTGGAGCTGCTTGTTGTGTATATTGTTTTATAAACTTATCCACTGAGGTACTCTAATTATACCTCCTTTTATGCCTTTGATGCAGTTTCGTCTTGCAAAGTTGCAACATTTTTAGTTTCGACCTTTTTAATAGTTGTAGAGTATAATTAATGTCTTGTTAAAAAATTATCTCCATCTCTTGACTCGTTTTTTATTTTTTTGTATACTGATGATAAAAGCTGTCATTCATTTCAACTGCAAATGATTTTTTTTTTGTTTTTTTGTTAAAATAAAGTAAAACTAGCATAGGTAATCAAAGGCGATCCTTCTTGCGTGTTCGAATATTCGATTATTATCTTGATAGGAGCGAAGACCAGCCTATCATTGGGATGGGCATCGAATATCAATGGCTAATATACATCAAGCATCAAACATCAGTGATCGTCTTTCATTATATGACTTGTAGTTGCTCGTCAACTGTAGCTTGACAGATACTTGATGTTTATCAACCATCGACATCAGCCAATTACTAATGTGCCACCGACTTCGGTTAGTTATTGAAGTCTAGCGTTCAAGTTAGTGTTTCCTGACCTCTCCTATCATGACAACGACCCAATCCGCCATTCATCATTACCCAACTTTTCATGCTTTATATTGGTAGTCATTCAACACGTACAAACAACTCACTTTCTTACATCGATCTTTGGCTGTTATTTTCTCTGTTACTTAATTTTCCATCTATTAGAAGAACAATCAAGCTCGCTACCAAAAAAAAAAAAAAAAAAAAGAAATTCCGAACTCGCCACCTATAACTGCAGGACTTGAGCCTTTTTTGTTGATTTGTTAGTTGTCATGAGACGTCTGTCAACTATTGACTTTTGGCATCTATTGACCACCAACATTTGATGTCTGTTTTTTCAGTCAACCAATCTCCCCTATTAGGAAAGTGAATATGTTGACCATCCATCATCTCCAGTCTTTATTATGATCAATGTTTGATGCTTGTCTTCTTGATTGCCCAGTTTACCCTCACATGAGAGAATGGCTGTGTTGTTTTTCCATTGTCTTCGCATTCCTGACATTCATATAGAGTTTCTTCTCTTGTTAAAAATTGATATTTTATAGCTATTGATATATGATATCTGTCTTCGTGGTCACATGCCCCCATTACCCAATCACCTGTCTTCCAACTTCTACTTCAATTGTTGTTCGAAACTCATTGTATCATGACTACTTTGAACCCCTTAAAATTCATTCTAATACCACAACATGAGACATATTCATGATTACTATCCATTACTTTTGTATAAACGTCTTCTCTTATTACGAGGAAAAACATGTTTTGTAATTCTTTACTCATACTAGCTTAACTATTTTAAATAGGCTAGGCTCCATGATTTTTATGCTTTTCGGGTTTTTAATATAAAAAATATTGCCTCATGTACACCATTTTCAACTTATTCACATGAGTGTCGGATCTTTATAATACTCATATTTTCTCTATTGTATTGAATTTAATTCTAAATTATAAGAGGGTCTAATCATGTCCATTGATAATTTATGCTTTTCGTTTAAAAACAATAATTATTAGCTGATGTTAAACACTATCTTAGCATGTATCAAATTATGCATGACCTATTTTATCAATCTGACAGGCTGCTATCAGCTATGCTATTGGTGTTCTTTTGAGGTTAGTGGCTAGATGTTTTTTATATGCTTTTCTGCTATTGCTATTATAGCTATGAAACATGATATTCCCTTTTATTCAAGCCGCAATTACATAGTAGCTTGGAAGGAGTATTTAGTTAACTTCTAAAGAACAATGCAAATTTCATTTTAGTATTTTTTCTTAAATTTTCTGTACTAATTATTTTCATTGAGAAAGTTGAAGAGAGTGAGTTTGTGGGTTGGTGGTGAGAGTAGATATCCGTCTCCTTTTCCATTATAAAAAAAGTAGCCCAAGAGAAGAGGGAAACATGATGATGAGGGAGAGCCTTCCCCACTTTCTCTGTAAAAATGCAGAAGAGGTGTTTTAATGGTATTTCTTGTTTATTACTATTGCCTTACCAAACTGAGTAGTAGAAGATCCAAGGAAGATATTTTTACTAGTCATCATTTCCATATTCATCTTCAGATAAAAATTATTGCTGAGCGCATTTAAATTATGATTGATAGTATTTTTATATTTATAATCTTTATGAAAAAAGTGACAAACGTTCTTATCATCCATGTATAAATGGAGATTGCCTTAACCATTTCACAATGACATAGAAAATGGAAGTGATGGAGGGCATCTTAGGGTTAATATCTAATAATATAAATATTACATGAAATACATAATAGATTAAAACATATAAAAAATCGTAATTCATTTTCAAACTTTTTATTTCAGCAGACGTTAGCCTCTTTGATGAAAAACCATAAAACACAATTAATTTATTCCAATTAATGATATAAACTTTGCCAAAATCAAAAGTTTCACATTTGATAAGATCTCACAACAATTAAACTCACACCATGAAACATTGCTCAATTAGCATCAAATTTGATAAGATCTCAATCATATACACAAGCCTATCACAAATAACTTGGATGAAAGAGTGAAGAATGGAAGTCACCAATTATGATTTAGGTCTCACATTGGAATGATTAGATGTATTCCCTAGAAGCTCTTGTCAAGATTTATTAAGTGTTTGAAGAATACACATCCAATAACACACAAGCATTGAAAGAAAAATAGGAATTTATTTGACTACTTACTAAATTTAACTGTTATAATGCTTTCTTATTTATGATTAAAAAGATTCAAAAATAATAAATTCTTATAATCTTCCTTGATCTAGCCAAAAACCACAGGTTATAATACATTGCAGTTGGATTCCAGCAATTTTTTAAGTTTATAATTTTAGAAATAAGCAAATAAGAAGATCCATAGCAACAATCAAACATAAACAAAGACCTAACAATATTTGCTGGAAAACGTAGTCATTTTTTGAAATAATGGCAACGCACATTTTGTATACTATTCAAATATCAGCTACAGTGTATATCACGTCTATGAGAAAACAATAACCAAGATTTCCCGAGCAAGATAACCATAACAATCGGCCATTTCTCAATTTTAGTTTTCTGTTATGGCAGCATGGTGACAGAAGGAAATAAGTTGTTACTTTTAACCTTTAGTAAACACAGCAGAGAATTTGAAGCCGGTCAATACTATTGAAATAAGAATAAGAGAAAAACTAGGATCTATAACACATGTATGTAGGGGATTCAATACATGCTACATTTAAAGGTCTTTATATGAGACATGATACAAAAATTTGTCTCGAACCTGACATAAAAAATTATGCCAACCCATGGAAGTTTCAAGTTGGCTTTGGGTTAAGCTTAAATGACTCGAAAAATGGCAAATTCCAGTTGAGTTCAGGTTAATCTAAAAATAATGACTTAATTACTTGTTATGTTTTTTAATGAAAAGTTTTTTTTTTATTTTTTTTATTTTTTTGAGTTTTTGCTTCTAAATGGAGTAATTA